GGAGGGTTCTCAAGAGGGCAAAACTGGATCGGAGGGAGATGGAGTTATAACTTGGAGCAGCAAGTGGCGCTCGGATCGGACTGCTATTGGCGTGCGCGGAGCGTAAACTTTAAATGCTCATAACTCTCACCTCCGTCGTTTCTCTCGGAAGAAACATATTAAGGTATGAGAAAAAGTACGATTGATACAATGAAATGTTTTTTTTTTTTTTTTTTTNAAAAAAAAAAAAAAAAAAAAAAAAAAAAAAAAAAAAAAAAAAAAAAATCACAAAAAATACGAAAAATACGAAAAATGGCAACACCGCGAATTTAACTTAATAAAATTTCCAATTCAATGACGTATTCTAAAAGACCATATTTTTAGAAGAATTTACGCGCAAACCACACTTCTAAATTTCTTTTCCTTCAAAAAATATGTAATTTTAAAGTTTTACACTTGGCAACGCTGCTGCGTGAAAATTAATTCGTATTAGGCCTTGAAATTCTACAATAAGGCGTTTCCGATACCGTAGAACAAAGTACTAGAAATTGGTTCAAATTCACGCTAGACACTTTTTTTCGCCGCTTTTGAACTAAACCTTTCTCTTATTTCGTTGAAAAACGGTCCTTAACACCTCCAAGAATAGATTTGCAAGGAAGTTAAGTTCGTTTTCTTGCGTATCGAGTGCGTCAGATGAGAAATTTCAAAATTCCCACTGAAATCTCGGGTGTATTAACATGTATTACGGCCGAATAGCTATTACCGTTCTTTACTCATTCGATCTGGCAACACTTACTACAAAATACTACGTATAGTACTACGATGAGTTCGATGACCTCTAACGGTGAAGGATTCTTGGTCTCTCATTGGTCCGTCCCGTTTCGAATGGTTCATTCATGAATTACATGCGCAGCACGTGACGCCAGCAAGCACATGGTTGAGTTTGTAAACAAAGCAAACGGTGAACTTTTTCGTGATTTATTCGACGCAGAGTTCTCTTTTAAGTTAATAATGTGTTAAATCAGGACTATCAGGAGTAACGTATCCAGTAATGCTGTTAAGCTTGTTACACCTTCATTTCAATTGTAGCAAACATCTGAAAAATAGAATGTGTCGACATGTTTAATAGTCACTCTTCGAGTGTGAAGTTTAGACAAGCTGAAGATGTTGATAATCGATCAAATGTAGTTTAATTTTTTCCTTCATGATCATGCCACAGCTGGCTTTAGTATTTACATCCGCACGGGGATGGAGACAATTTATTGTCAAATAGCTCCATTGTATTTAAAGTAAGCAGGATTAACAACTCTTGAGGTTAGAATATGATGCGGCCGAAGACTTTAACCATGAACTCTCTAGTTTCTTATTACTTTGGCTCTCAGGTAGGTAGATACCATTTATGGTCTTACAGTGTTTCCTACACAAATTCAAAGAATGTACATATATATTTAAGAACAGTCATTGCAGGAATTCATTGTTTTATATGATGGATGCAAGTATTCAGATATTTCCACAGTTTGGAGCTGCATTTTCTGACTTCAGGATTATGGTATAATGCATTGTCAATGAACAAAGCTGAAAGTTTGCTAACAGAATTTGAGGCTTGAGGGAATCTTCAGTTTGTTTTATTATTAAATAAGCAACAGGGACATCCTGTGAAGGGATGGCTGCAGGGCGTTGATGAAGAGATGTTGCGGTGTCAGTTGCCCGATAACCTCTAGAAAGATAGACATATGTTGCGTTTTGGTGTTGCAGAACACCAGAGTGCGTTGTAGGAGCAACTTCATGTATGTGTACAATCAGCATATGGGGTGATACTTAAACACTGTTTAGGTCTCAATGGAATTGAAATTTTCAGTTCAGGTGAAGAGCAAGTTGAAGTTCAAAAGGCTTGCCCGTGTCATGTAGGTATCCTGTCGTTTGCTGAAGTTTTGTGCTTTTAAGTTTTGCGTTTTGGGCAAAAACAATTTTAGTGCAATAAGCCAAAAGAAGTTTGAGTTTCCTTGATTTTTCAAATTGACGCGGAACTCAAAGTAAAGTAAATTAAAAATTAAAAGCAATTTATGAAGTAAGAAAATCATGTAAATTTTTGTAAATATTTTCAAAAAAAACTTATTAAAAACTTAGAATATGTGATATGGCATTTTTATGTAAGAAAGGACAAAAAGGGTCCTCGATTTGGAATATTTTATCAGGTTTTCTGTGAGTTTTTACCTGCTGAAATGTATGAGGTTTTATCTTTCCTTGCCTCTAAGTCCATTTGATCATTCTTTTTTTCAGAATTGCAATAAATCACTGTAGGTATTCACTCATCCTGAGGAGCAATAGATATGATCATCTTCCTAGACGATGTCATGATTTTTCAGGGGGAAATTGTCAGAGTATGTGGAGGAATACTTTGCTCGGTGGATACATTTATTAGAGATGTAAGTTATTTGTGTTGCCTTCAATAAGTCTTACCAAGTGTTAATGTATCATAAATTTTGATGATGAACAAAACATTATCTCAGTCGTAAAGGTTAAAAATTTCTTAAGACGTATTATTTTCAAAGAAAAACTCTCGCATGATATTTTTAATGGATAATAGGAGACTTATTGAGTACGATACGATTTTTGCATTAGAGAATGCCAAGTGGTGCCTTTGTTCAGTAAATGACTCAATCAGTCAGAGGCAAGAATAGATTAATCAATGAAATTCACAAGAAAATAAAAGAGTGAATAGTTCAAATTGCAGAGAATAGCTGAAAAATAAAAAGGCATCCGCCGGACGCTGAACTTTATTATCTTACAGAGTAAATCCATACTTATTTTTAAAACTGCCCCATGCACTTAATTTTTAATCTTAAAAAAACTTTCATTGAGAGATTGTTAACTCTTATTATAATTTAATATTAATTATATTTTAACAGGTTGAATTAAATGAGTGACTGACAACATTTTTTTTCTTCATTAGTTTATTTATAGATTCTTTATCACAGATAACAAAATCACACAAAAATAACACAAAATAGCAATTATAAAAGGTAACAAAATCTAGTATGAGGCAAAGAGAGAGCGGCAAACTTAATTGTGCTTTTCTGGCACACTATGTACTTTCTTTGGTAGGATAAAGTGTGATATTCATCTTGAATGGAGTCCTAAATGTTATGGTTTCACACAATAACAGAGTGCCAAAAGGTGCTCAGCAACTCAATAAATTTAAGGAAGCTTACCTATGATAGTCACATCTCTTTCAAAAATTGTTTCTAAGACAAGACACTTTCAACGTATTGAGGAAACCTGTACATGCATGACCAATTTGTACTCACATCTCGTGCTCAAAATCAATTGACAAAGTATTCATAATACATTGTATCGTACTTAAAAAAATAATTTGAAGCTTGACTAAAATATTTTTGTTCCTGGGGAAGTATTAAGTGAATAAAAATTTTAAGTATGTAAGAAGTAGAAAACGTATGACCAGATCTAAGAGCAGAGCTCTTCACAGAACAATCAACGATACATGAATATTGCAGAGAATCAAGGAATGGTAAGTGTAAAAAATTATTCCTTTGAATAAAATCATGGAGCGTTATGGAGAATTGTTGATACGCAGATCTTGCCATCAGTTGAAGCGGTAATACATGATCCACATTGATTAGCTGTCGTCCAATCACATGCAACTACAGGGCTATCATGCCCTTTTAATTCTAGAGACAAGGTTAGGCCTTTGAGAGAAATCTGAAACAATAGAGAAGAGCTATTTAGTTTAGTGACCACTCTTCACTACTTGATGAATGCAGTACACTTGAAAAGTAAATGTTTAGCAAATCAGGGATTTTGACAAGTGATGAGCCGTGTGAGTCAGAAAATTGTGCTTTGAGGACTAAAATTTTTAGATTAGCAGAGAAAAATAATGGCTAAAGGTAGACACCTTACTGCCAAACGTTATCAAAAATTAACAATGACATTGCCTCTTATGAATCATTATGGATTATACAGACCACTACCTTAATAGGTACATACTATGGTTTTTCTGACTTGGGTCTCACCAATCAGCAATAATTAAGTGCATGAGAGATAGCAGTAGTCCCTTACTTTAAAGTGAGCCCTCTGGTTAAGTTTGACATATAAAGATGCTGATTATCTTGATGCCATCCAAGTCTTCTTGAGTTCTAGTCATTTCTCACCAATGTGTCTCTTAAAAGTTGTAACACTTAACAATAACACTGGCTGTCAACATTGTGCTTTGATGAAACTTAATTCTGGTTAGGTTTGTTTTCTTCTCTTAAAACGGGTGTAAAATTTAACCAGATGTTACGTGAATCCATCGCCTATAAAATCATTGTAAGTCAATGAATTTATGAACAGATGAGCTCGACAAGATTGCGCTTAAAAGCTAATGAAGCGCCCACAACCTGCATCTAACCGGCTTTATTTTTTCGCTCTTCTCAGAGTTAATGACAAGAATTTTGGGACACCCTGTAAGCAACCCAATTTCTGACCTCATACATAATTGTATTTTATTAAGTTATGAAATAAATCAATGAACTTGAAAAAATTCATGTACCTTAGCATCAGCATTTTTATCAATAAAACTTACATTAGTACTTTAGTGATCAGAAAGGGGGATGAAACTGAAAGAGAGAAATAGGTATTTGATGTATTAGCGTACCTGGTAAATGTGACCGCTGCACTGCCCTGAGCTGACAAGAATGTATGATCCTGAATGGTGTAAGACAAACCTCCATGGTAATTCACTGTCATTATTTTCATTCCTTTTCAATGCAACCTCCCAAACTGCGACCGCATTTGACCGATAATCCAGACTTCTTCGGTATAACTGAAAATTAAAGCACTTCTTTAGTTTGAAAATTTCACAGATAGCACCAGGAAGAACCATACAGAAAAAATGTTTCCGCAAAGGTAGACAATAAGGTGGTATGAATGGGATTCATAAAGAGGAGTATTGCAATGGATTTGTCAAAACCAATGACTACAGAAAAGGAATAGTAGCCACATCAGGCTAAGCCAAAACTGTGTGGACTTATAATTTTGTTCGTAAAAAGAGCCAAAGTAAAATTATCATGTGATTTTTCTTAGGAATAGTATGAACTATGCAGAAACCACTGCAGTTAAAGTTTGCCTTAGAATTCTTCCTGTTAAGTACAGAACTTCCACAATTTTGACAAAAATTATTACAATCCTCTCCATCAGTCATCACTAGGCAAAATTCTTCAATTTTTTTCTTCCTTTTTCTTTTGGACAAATACTGAGTCAAAACGAGATGATGATCAAACTCCATTGATCCTCCTGCTTTTTTTGCTTGCAAGGCATTACACATTCCAGAACAAATAGAAAAAGAAAAATTCAAACTTTATTTGAACTCTTCAGCTTGTAGAGAAAATATCAAGCATTTAAAAGCTCTATCGACTTGGAAGAGGCCTTCAATTTGTTTCTTCCAAATCATCAAGTGAATACATGACACAAATCTTATTATTACAGACAGGAAAAAAAACTAAAAATCCTGGTACAAGTTAGATGTACCCACCTTATCCCCGTTTCCCAGAGAATACCAAGCATTGAAGTCCGGCGTAAGCTGTATACTATGAACAGCAGTCTGATGACATTGAACGGAATCTATGCACTCAGCATGGCGAACATCAATTGTTAGGACAGAGCCGTCAGAACAACCTGCGATGAGCAACTGACCATTATGGTTGTATGTGACAGCAGTAACATAAACAGTGCTTTCACGCCCATGAGATATTTCTTTCTATAAACAAACATTTCACGATAAATATCAGATTTAATGATAAAGTTTTCCGCATCAGTGATTAATCACTTAATATCTCTCCTTCAAAACACTTTTTGTTAGATTTGAGTTATTTTGACATGAAAAATTGGATTGCTTGTTCATTTATGATTTACAATGGAGAGAGAGAGACAGAGGAAAAATCGCAAAAATTGGGCTCCAAAAACTTATCTGACTAGTGAGAATGAGGGAGAAGACTTGTAAAACATATTTTGCAGTCTTTTTTTCCAGGCAGCATTAAAGAAATTTTTTAATGGTGGTTTAAGTTCAAAAGCTTCCTTGAGAAAAGAAGGTTAGGAAAGTTACAAAACATTTTCAGGATAAGTATACCAAGATATATTGATTCAAATCAGGCTGCTGTTTTATTTTAAATTTCATTTTCATCTCAAAAAGTTTAGGGACTATGAAATGGTGGTTTTCATTGAGAAAAATTTTGACTAAGTTTATACAATTTGTAATAAAATAGTGTAAAGATTTGAAAAATTTCAAAAAATAAAAAATTCAATTATAAGATGATCAATTATACTTGCCTCCATTTTGGATGTTTTGATGTCAAATAATAGTAGCTTCCCATCATTGCTTTTATTCACTACAGAGCAGATAAAACTGGACTCCATAGGGCTGCAGCTTACACACAGAACTCTGAAACAGTGGACGGCACATTTACTAAAAGTTCACAAATAGATAGAAATTTTCATCTTTCAATAAATACAAACACGCACATGAGTCAGTTGATTCTAAGAAATTGTAGGAGAATAAAGCTGAACATTGATACATTTCATTTAGGGAGTTATCTGACTAAAAAGGATTCCGGCAGAGAGATTTCTATTAAAAGTATGTTACTCCTCGACAATAGTGGTGGTGAAGCTGGCAGAGTTGCTGTTACTGCCACCTCACACCTTGAGCTGACTTGAAAAACTAATTGTTTTAATAGTGAATTTGCTTGAATGGGTTTCAGCTTATTTTAAAGGGGCTGTAAGTTTCCAATTTGCGCCAGATTAATATCAAAGGCATCAGTAAAAATTTAAGAATAGACCATGATAATTACTGCAATAAATCTTACTTATTGTTGAATAAAAGACTGCTTGAATCATTTCCTGTTTCCCAGATAATTTTATGTTCTCTAGTGTCGACTAGAAGTATAGTGCCACTCTCAGTGCCAACAATCAAATATCGTTCATTTCTTTTCACCCAATCTAGACAAAGAATGCTTGAATTCAGCTGGAATGTTGTTAATAGTCTGAAAAAGAACAAATAAATTAATGTATAAAATACTTATTATGACAACACGAATGAATGATAACTTTTTAATATTGATTTATCTCTGAATCGGAAGTTACTTTTTGGTTACTTCAAGTCTAGCTCCGAGTAATTTTTCACTGTCACTTTGGCTATGAAATTAACCACGCTAAAAATCAGACTTTAGGTTAGGTATCAGTTAAAATCTCATCAAGCAAAAGTTGAACAAACTATGATTACAATAAATAGTCTGGATCTAAATCAAGCAATTGTTCTCCAGTCCTGAGCTTAATGTCAAAAAATGTATTGCTTCTGCACAGTATATCTTTCTCATTCTATCTTTCATGTATTAAAAAATAATTAGGAATCAGCCTCTACATACAGATTTGCTGTCTAGTTTTTAAGGTTACTATAACTCCATTGAACAAACCTTGGTGACGGTGTAGGACACCATAAGTTCAAAACTCCTAGAATATCACTGCTTGCAACTAATGTCCCACTGGAGTTAAAGCGACACTGCGTCACAGTTGTCTTGTGTTTTAGGAATGATTCCTGGAAAAATAATTACAAATCAGAATGTGTAATCGATCAGCATCACTGCAAAGTTCATTCATAAATTACCTCATGCACCAGGGAAAAAGGTAGGTCTCGGCTGGCAAGCTGAGTGTCAAAAGGATTAGGTAAGATACCCAAGGCACTAGAGGTTCCCTAGGTACAGGGCTTAGCGCACTAAGGAGGAAAATTTGACACTTTTAAATCCAATGATTGTTCCTTTTCTTTTATTTGACCCACTAATGGTGTTAGTAATAGAATGATTACAGGGTTTGAAGTTTTGTGAGCAGTATTCTTGAGACAAAGGAAAATGAATGATAAAATTATGTTTTGTTTAGTTTATTTCCATATTTTATTGCTTAGCTTTTATTGCGGTGCTATTTTATAGGATAACACCTAACCTGACTCGAGGCCTCAACCTCAAAATTTGTCCAGATTTTTGACTGCATTAACTTGACATGATGATTGCCAGTCCAACCAAAACTGGACTCAGGGTCAAATCACTTTGGAATGCAGTAAACAAGTTTGATTGTAGTACTAACTTGGCTTAGAAGAATGAAGGTGTTCCCTGGTTGGGTTGGTTTTCCACTCGACCTCCGGCTCAAAGCATCAACTGATTTGTCTCTACCTGCTCGGACCCTTGCAGATCTTCCTTCAACTGATGATGATCTTTTGCTTATTCCTCCACCTGAATCACTATTAACAAAGAAAAGTTATTATCTTTTTTTTTATTAAAAAAAAGTGTGAGCTAGTGCAAATATTTTGCATATGTAGTACGGTGATTGAAGATTGCAAACTTTTAAAAAAGCTAGAAGAAGAGGTTATCATGGTTGCCACAGAATTTAGAAGATGAAATTCCCTGAAATTTCCCTGACATAGTTTGGTAAAATTTAAAGATACATAATTTGAAATGGTTTTCAGGCAAAATCTGTTGATCAAAACGTCAAACCCATTGTGGGAAGCAAATAAAGCAGACTTAGCAATTTTTCCCTGATGTTCTCACCATTTTTCCTGACTTTAAAATTCTCTGACATTCCACAGAATTCCCTGACTGAGGCAACTCTGTAATACCGACTGAAAGCAGAAATGTAGGAGAATTTTCTTTATCTTCTCTCTGCTTGCTTCAACTTATGGCATTCGGTTGTGCAACAGGAATGGAATCTATAAATAATAAAATACATGCATAATTTTTTGTGATTTAATTTTAAGTGATTTTGGGCTGATAGACTCAAATCATGTAAACCCATAAGTAGCCAAGGATTTTTCAGTAAAAAGGTTTAGAGGTTTATGTGATAGACATTTTAAGCTGCATAGACTTCGCTGAACAGTTGAATTCAAAATAAATTTACCTCCCAATTGATGGTTTGACCCATCCAGCTGAGGCATTTGACGGACTGACACACTGCTTATTTCCAGAGCGAATATTCAGAGCTTCTGTGCTTCCTGTCAAGGAAAACAGAAAAAAATTAAGAACCATTAACATTACTTAAGTAGTTTAAGGAAAAAACATTTAAAAAACAAAAAAGATAATTTTAACAGGTTGATTAGAAGAATGAAAATATCCACCAATTTATATATTTTCAAAGAGTCTAGAACTAGCAAAAAATAACTAACCGTAAGCACCAGATTGTTTCCTGCCCATAACAGGACTTGATGGGAGACCGCTGCCAATATTACGAATTAAAGTTTTTAAACCTTTTGATTGGCCTTCCGCTGGTTGTTCCTTTGAGGTTGCTTCCCTGCAACATTGAAGAAACTTATTAGCCATTTTATGAAACAAAAACTTGTGCGGAAAGACATTCGTTGATCCTAGATGCAAGGGATACAAAAAAATTATTCTCTCAAATTTTCCTGGCATGCCACTTAAAATTTCATACATTTTTTCTATATTCTTTCAAAAAACTAAACATCAGCAAACATTTGAAAATGATCAAAAATGGAAGAATATTCAAAAATATAAGGTAAAATCAAACAAATTCGTTGCTTAAATTTTTGTCAGCTTTTCAAGCAGCAATTTCACATTATATGGATCCCATTATTTTATTAAAAGAGAGAGGAAGAGAGTAAGGACGTGAAAGAAGTATGTCAGGTGGAAAGTTATTTTGCCCAACCATTTGTAAGGATCCTTGCAAAAATGATTTGGCTTTAAAAATTTGCTTCAGAGGACTCGTAGCTCCTTGCTGAGTTAGTGGCACTGGATTTTGCAGGAGAGCCCTGTCCTATAGAAACCTGTCTATATATGTCTGTGATATCTTTGAGGACATCACTTTTGTGCCTTTCCCTCTCCTTAATCAACTTCTAAAAAATCAGCAAAGTAATGAGATAAATCATTAAAAATGGTTATATAAACTTACAATCCTACAATATAAAAATCATCAATAAGCTCTAATTGCGTTATAACAGGTGGCTTCACACTATCCTCAGCGTTGGAGTTGGAAGTTATACTATGTTGACGCTCTGCTAACATAGCTAATTTCTGCTTCAATGACTCATTTTCTTCTTCTAATTTTCTAAACCTTAATGCTTCCTCTTGGTAGCTTGCTAAAGTTGGCAGCGGCAGCACCTACAAGATTAATTCAATTATTGGTACAAAATAATAACCAACAAAAATATCGCAGCTGGAAAATAAAAAATGAAGACATATATTTTTGGTGTCATTACAAATTAACTTCCTCAGCACACTGTAGTTTTCGTTAAATAGACTTATTATTAAAAAGGAAAAATCATAGAATGTTTTAAAATTAAGACATACATACCTGATAGACAGAGGCCAAGAAATTATGGAGAGCAATTTGTAGTGTGTCTTGCCATTGTTTTGTGAAATACGTTGCAAATAAAGGATTTTCTTCAGGAGATTTCATGTATGGCAGCACTGAAAATAGTTCATTCACATTAAATTATGTACAGTATTAATATACCTTTTAGGAAGAACATGCTGTATAATCCATTATGAGCAATTGTGACTGAACACATGATAAGCAACTAATTCTTCCGAGCCAAAAGTTTCAGGGTAAACGTTATAGAGAAATGGAGTAAAATTTAGTGGAATAACATCTTTGATGTAGCAACTTTTTAAACATGATATCAACTAAATACTTTACTACCATTCATGAGAGCAATTCATGGGTATTTTGTAACAAAACGTACTGTTAACTCATTTTTTAGTGACAAAAATTCCTTTGAACATCCACACATAGGACATAAAATTGATCATAGAAGGCCTTAATTTTTTAGAAAGATAAATGGTGAATTAAAATCTACTCACTAAACCAGTCTTTCCATTCATTTTGACCTTGTAGCTCTGAGGTCATTTTTGACAAAAACTCAGCTACTTTGTCGGGTTTGTTGTAAGCAACAGCTTGTGCTAAGTAATACTTGTAAATTGCATATTCCAACTTCTTTGCAGCTGAAACAGAAACATCATAGTAACATTATGCACTTTGACAACTTAACTTATCACTTTTTATTGTAATTTGACACTTTATCCCTAAAAAAATAAATGAAAACATCTGAAAATCTTTAAAAGCCCTCAAGCAGTTCAACTGCTGGGGAAGTAACTTAACATTTAGATTAATTATGTTTACATGAATGGACTACTTGAAGGGGTAGAATTGAGCAATACAGCACATGCTATCTCATCAAAATTTCACACAGAACACATTGATCATGTCAACAACTTTCAAAAGGAACTCATGATTGAGAAATAAACGTTAGAAAGTTACTCAAGTAACTGTTGCGGCAAGGTTATCGCTAAATACAATATGCCATAGGGTTACTTTTGAAATGATGGCCAAAAATCATGGATTGTATTTAAATGAAGTCATCAGAAACAGCTATTCCCTGCATGATTGATTTAAGGATGTTTCTCAACATTTCTCCATCGGTAAAATATATTATTTCTACAAAATGGCTATGAACAAAAGTGTGTCGCTTTCTGCCCCACCAACCCTGGGCACATATGTCCATCACTTTCAGCCTCTTGCCTCATCCAACCGGGATAACAGCCGCGAAAACACTTTTATATCCAAAAAACTCCCCACAGTTTCCATCGTCATTTTTGAAATCATAAAATGATAATGAATTAAATTCAAGGGTTTGAGGTAGCTACGTTACTACTTTTCTACTAAAAAATTGATTCAATCTGCGAGAAATGACAATTCAAAAAAAGTGCGGCCCTTTGACTTCTTCCCCCTTACAAACTTTAACTCTCTTTTTTTGGGGGCTCAAAAGTAGAATTCAAAAAGTAGCATTCAAAGTAAATGTTTCAGACCTCAATGCCTGATCAATGAGCTAAAAATTTAATTTTATTATACTTTCCAGTATCAAAGGCTGTGAAAGAATGTGGTTCTTAGTCAAGAAAGATTTCAAGTAAGTAGCAGATTTCAGAGACAATAATAACATATAGTATTAGGCATATGGAGGTATATACAACACCAAAATCTATAAAATCAATTTCTTCTACCTGGAAAGAATTCTTGCTCTAATCTAGAAAAAAGCTTTTGTTCAAGATGAGTCCATAAGTCACGAATCGCATTTAGGTCATGAGAGTGAATTGACTGCATTAGTTGCTCAATTATCTTGTCAACCTGAAATTGAAATAGACATTAGGGTTACAGTTTGAGAGACTGTTTAAAGTCTGGCTTATCAACAAGATTCTGTGTTCTATTCTAGACATGATTTAACATCGAATTAGAGGGATAGCACACATTGCGTGCATTTCATTGCCTTTAGGATATATCCACTAATACTTCTTGAAAATGAAAGACATCAACAGTAAGCCTTCCTTTGCTATAGACCGACATATTGAAAATTAGATTTGAATATTAAAGGGGTACATTAGGAGGGCTTACGTAAACTGATTAAAGATGTAAACCCGTACTGATTCAACAATCTTCTCAGACAGAAATTGAATGAACTAATGGTAAAAAAAAAAAAAATAAATAAAAAAAGTCTATAATGTTTTCAGGAATTCAATAATGAAGCTTCAATTAATTAAAAATTAAAACATTGGGTTTAGATATGTAATCAAAGATTACTATTGAAGGAGTAATATAAATAATTTTAGCTAGTTGGAGCATTAATTTAACTTTTCCATGCATTAAGATTCCGATATAAATAACATGAATGATGTCATTCATTGACAGGTTGAAACAGTTGGAACTGATAAAATTATACGACTTGAAACAACGGAGGCGCATTCGTAGGCGCTCCTTTAAACTCACCCTAAACCCTTTGTCTTTGTCATTTTTGAGATCGTTATCAAAGGCTTTTAAAGTTCCAGGAAACCCTCTGAACAGTAGATATTCTTTGATAAGCTCATCAAGATATTGAATGTGAGACATGGTAATGAACAGCGAGGCAGAACATAAGTGCTACAGCGAGTACATTTTAGGGCAAAATTTTCTGTTGATTGAACGACAACAAAACGGAAGTGAAATTCTGCATGATAAATGAACGAGAATGTATTAAACAAAGGAAGAAAAACTTATACACAGTTTACAGTTGTTAAAGAATTAAGTACAAGAAAATAACTCAGTTTTCTTATCAGCCAATGTATTCAATGTAGATTGTAGATATAAACTGTAAACATAACCTCAAATCACAGACAGGTTGAGTAGTGCTGCTACCTACCAGCGAACAGATTGAACTACTTTGCCACTAAGCCGAATGTAAAAGAATAATGGAAAAAAGCGAAATTATAATTATCAGAAAATTCTTTGAGGATAAAAATGTCTAATCGCTCTGCACATCGAAAATTAAAAAAAAATTTAAAGAAGGTTCCTCGTACGGGTCTGGTCAACTATTTTTGAGTTCCCACATACTTTTTTTCAAACGAAATGGCAACAGTGGCTAACTCTCTGCGTATGAACTGCGTGAAGAAATTGAAAATTGCGTGCATTGCATTTTTGAGGGTAACGTGACGCTAGATCCGACCGATTTCTGTGAATTAAAACTAAGTTTGCCCTGCGATTGTGATTTTGGATCAATTATATTGTCCCTTCATGTGTTTTCTTAACCCCTTGCATGCGACGTTTGTGTAAATTGTGCTTTTCTCCTCATCACCTCTGAAGCCGAAAACGTAGCTACGAACTTCGTGGAGCACTTTCACTGTGAGTATCCAAGAAATTGGCCAATTTTTGTGATATCTGTAGCTGTATCACAGCAATTACGTCTTTCAAGTTGTCTAGTCAATTTGTCAGTCGTCAGGGACCAGTCGGCTTCATAAATTTTCATCTTTGTGGAAGTAACCATCACGTCAATTTCTGCTGTGCTCTAGCCTTTGCGTTATGTTAGCCTGTATCATCTCCATGATCAAGTTGCCCAGCCCTGAGTAACTTTTTGAAGGACGCGTAATTGATAACGAATTAGGTAAGCACTCTGCATCTTTTCTTAGGTGTGTATTCTTCGTCGCATTTCTGAGACCTCTTGCGTATGGGTGTCGCACGGTTAGAAAAAAAGAACCAATTTCTTATGGAGATTTAGGCATGAAAGAACATGAGCAGCCTTTTCAGATGTAGTTGGTACCCTAATTTCTTACAGACACTAAATCCTAATCAATACAACAAGGTAGGAAACTAAGACGCACTCTGTAGTTCTCACTCACTTTGCCTTGGTATTTATTGATAGGATTCTAGGTACTTGCAAGATGCCGAATGCATGTAGCATGTACAGTTATTGTTATACCTGTATGTTAAATATTTATTGCATTGAAGCACTTACTACGATTCCAAAATTTCATCGATTAAAGATCCTCTGACTGCCAACATGGTAAGGCCTTGATAAAAGTAGGTTACATTGCATTTGAAGGTGAGAATGATGACAGCAGGAATTATGGTGTGATATCAGCAGGTAAACTGTCCAAATGAAACAAAGCAACCGGGCATCTACTCACAAGTAAAACCAGGAATGGACTGTCTAAGTCAGGTTTTCATGTTTTAACTAATGAGAGTGCATAGGTGCAGAATGTATAGGAAGGTTCAAGAATGGGTGCTGCGTCATTTTTCGAAAGGCAGACCAAAAAAAGCGTCAACCCTTATTTTTCAGAAATAAGGCAAAACAAAATCAATTCGGGGGGGGGGGGCTAAAGGGCTATATTCAGCGCAGAAAATCTTCATCGGACAGCAGCAAAAGGAAGGATGAATACGAAGAAACCCTTCTTGTTTTTTTTGCAAATGACTTTTGTTCTTGTTGAGTAAGGTGTGGTAGGCCTGTTATTTCAGTACTAGGGGGCTACGCCCCCTGGCCGCTACGCGGCCCAACCCCCTGAAGGCGCTCCGCGCCATCAATGGGCCGCTTCGCGGCCCTATTTTTACCCTCCTTTCAGTGTTAGTTTTATTTTTCCCCTAAAAAATTACGATATGAGGTATACTTTAATTTCAAACTTTACTTAAAATTACTTTAAAATTAAAAGGACGCGTTTTGGAATGACTGTTTGATGAATTATTGCAGTAAAACAATGAACAATAATAGTCGGTAATAAATGAGCGCCTCATGAGTCGGGGATCGAACCCACACGGAGTTCATAGCGGAGGCATTCGACGTCTTAGACGACTCGGCCACCGCTCGTCATGTGATCGTCGACGCGTATCTTGTGTAGATAAGTGTAGAGCTGATGCGCAGGCTACACAGCTACTGCGCAACCTCCTCGACCACTGCGCATCCTCCCGCGCATAGCGGTAGCAGTACCGGAGCATTCTGTAAACTCACTCAATTTTATAACGTGATTTTAAAAAAACCTGGGTCCTTTTTCCAAAATCGAATTGCAGCGGGCTCATCTAGGGCCTATTACCTGTCGATTTACGCAAAAATCATGGAAATCGGCCCGGTAGAACGCTCAAACGATTTATGACAAAAAGTATAAATTTACATTGTTTAAATGGGAGAATTCGCAACTTTACCACGTAATATAAAAAAACCTGGGCCATATTTTGAAAATCTGAAAAGAGTTGGCTTATCTAGAGACAATAGCCCGTCGATAGCCGCAAAAATCGTGAAAATCGGCCCGGTAGAACGCTGGAACTAAGCGTCACCAGTTTCGCAAAATTAGGAGGTCTTGGAGCTTATATTTCAGTATACTGTTTCAGTCGCCAGTAGTTCCAGGCATTGATTGAAATATTTCTGATTGGCTAATTCATCAACCAACTAAAAAAAATCTCTTGAGCTTTTTAAACAGGTATAGAAAAACACTTTGAAAATTTTTATATTGGAGGTAAGCTTTCTACAACAATAACCTTTACTCAATATCACAGACTCAAAATCAAATCCTGAGATCATTTCGTTGCTTTTATCATTAATCATTAAATTACCAAAAGCCGCTGTACAAAAACCTGTGTCAGCTGTAGAATTTCCTGTCTGGACTTGAGATTTCCTCGTTCTGTTGACATGTTTCAAGTCTTAATTTTTCCCAAGTTTTTTCTTCATTGTAAATCATGTACATTGCATCTTTGACTTGCTTTCTGGAGAATGTTTTGCATTCTCAAAAAATTGAAGCCCCTTTTTCCGCTGGAAGAACTTGCTAACCATGTAACCATGGTCGCGAGAGAAGAAGAAGGTCCTCCAGCGTCACCATAGAAATAGCGTGTTTTTCGCATGATCTCTACATTTGGACTGAATTTTGCAATTTGGACCTATAAATTCCGGCTCGGTTTAAAAACAATGTATGTACCATTAGTTTCCCTATGCTCACAAGTGTTTTTTCAGATGAGCCAGAATTTATAGGTCCAAATTGCAAAATGCAGTCCATTTCTCAACTGAATAGATGAATTGAAAACCAAAATTTTGAAAATTTCGAATTTTTTTCGGAAAACGAAGGACACCTCATTGAAGTAGGTTTATGAAAACTCTCATATCATGCTCAGATACTTAATTTTTTGCGATTTAAATTATGCATTCCTCGAAGAGGTGACAGTGTCGCAATATAATTCAGTAACGGTTTTCTTCATCGGCACAATTGGCAACGCTGGCATTAAGTTAGGATATAAAAGAAACAAGGTAAGAAACTCGAGGTTAGTGTTGCATACAATGGATACCAATCAAATTTCATTTTAACGTTAGGATGCAAATATTCGAGCCCCATGAATGTTCATGTTGCATACCCACGAAAGTGAAGGCGTTTTGAAATAACCGCCATACCAGCGGCGCACAGTGGAATTGGAGCGTTAATGAGGAGTCATACAAAATGTGGAAGCATCAAAAGCTCATATCAATGTCAATGCGGAGTTTATAGGTTTTAGAAATAGTTTCATTGATTTTCTCGTAAAATTTCCTCCCAGAAGTACCCTTCACAATTTACGATGTAAAGAAATTAACATCAAAATTTACAGTTTTGGCAAACATTTCATGCCGAACCTCTCTGAAAGGCTCGTTTAATTTTGAGGCGAGCCTTGGTGCGACCACTACTAGGATATAAAATGACCGGGTCCGTTCAATTTTTTTTTTTTTTTATCTAAATAGCCCTCAACGGCTAATCCCACCCATCAGCTCTCAGCACTCACGGTCTAATTCTTTATTTTATACTTCGAAGACTTCTTTTAGCGATGAATAGTTCCTCTACAAATCATGCTCTGCATATCGCGGTATCAACACCGAGGCACGTAAGAAAATCACATCCTACGCCTGTATTAACTATTCGTTCCCAAGAGATATGTTTGTATTATAAACGAAGAATTGTAAGCGCTCTGCCATATGATCCTGGCAGTAAAAGAACCCGCCGTTGGTGCCGCGCTGCGGATGAAGTGGTGAGTGCTTGGACGGTCAAAACGCCTTCACTTGGGTGCGTATGCAACAAGGATATCCTTGGAGCTCGAATAGTTGCATCCTGTAGTAACGTCCTGTGTTGTAATGAAAGTCGTTCAGTATTGGTTGCATTCGACACTAAAACTGAATGTAACTTGCTTGTTTCTCCAGGACCTTCATTCCAGCGTTGCCTATCGTGCCGACGAAGTACACTTTTACTGATTTGTATCGCGACATTCTCAATTTTCCGAATGATACTCGGATCGCCAAAATACATAACAACGTTGCCGAGAATGTTTCACGCTTTCATTTGATTTTTTCAGAGCTTTTGCCTAATGCCGGACATGTCTCGAATCCAAAACTCGAGGGTAACACCCCCTTCCCCCTCCTGAGAGTACTAGAATGGAGATGTTGCATGTGTGAGGAACTTGCGATTTGACTTTATGGATTCTTATGTGAAAGTTCGCAAGATTCACGATGGTCCCACTGGTTTTCTCTGAAATCAATTCCCAAGCTCAAAAAAGCTCTCGAGTTGAGACCAAAATGGAGGGGATATCCCACGCTATCCTGAGAGTCCACTTCTACAGCAGGACAAACCCTCCATGCAAAGTTAGGGAGTAAATACATTAGCGGGGTTGCCGTGGTTTCAGTTGTGGAGTCCCCAAATAAAGTTGGAGCCCTGTCAATATATTTGCTCCCTATCTTTGCATGGAGAGTTTGTCTTGATGTAGAGGTGGACTCTCAGGATAGCGTGGGATATCCCCTCCATTTTGGCCTCAACTTGAGAGCTTTTTTGAGCTTTTTTTAGCAATTTCCGA